TGGAAATGCTTTCAGCCACCTGGTCCCTCTTCTGGTCATACTTAACGCCTTTGCTGTTACCCTTGGAGCTGGACTGGTGTTTTGCACCAGTTAGGTATTCTAGGAAAATTTGGGATTACAATAGAAAAGGAAGCAAGAATGCATTGCAGGGCGAATGACAGGAAACAATATTTAATGTTTCCGGTACTGTGCTAATTAGACTAACCAAGTGGAAAATATTTGCTATTCTGAGAGTTCCCTGATAGAAATGTACAGTCTTATTTTCATTTTTCAGAAGGGTAAAGACCTCTCTAATGGTATTCTCCATTCTCAAGCTCTTATCAGCTTGGATGTTTTGATGGGGCTTTGCAAACCTGAATATATCTGTTTAGATTCTGTCTGCTTTCAAATGCCAAATAATTCCTTAATCAGTGGTTCTACTGGTGTTCGCATTGCTGTTATTCCTTGCTTACAGCAGTACTGGTGAGTTTAGGATTTGTTGTTTGTGATGGCCTTGGACATACTGTTGCTTTTAATGGCAAGGAAGTCACCAGTGCACTGTCCAAAACAAGGTCGATGTTTGAGTTCTGCTGGGATCAGCTGTTGTAGCTGCAGTCCTCTTTGTGCCATGGCTATGAGCAGTGGTGTAGAGATTGGACTGCTGTACTGCAGGACCTTTCCAAACCAGCTCATGCTTGTTTTCTCACTAGTGTAACGTGTCCAGTGAGTGGTCTCCATTTTGCAGTACACATCTGGGTGAAGCTGATTGCGTTTCTGAATTCCCATTTTAGCTGGAGTCCACGTACTTAGCTCTGTTTTTCTGGGGTTTTTTTTTGTTTTTTTGAAGATATGATTGGAAAAGTTGACACTACTTCTCATTTTTGTCATTGCAGAGATTTTTCCTGTCTATTTGTCTGTTCTCTCCCAGCCTTTCAGATGTCTACAGGGCTTAGCATTCCAGGAAAAAACTGTCATCTTTATAGTCATGATATGCAAAGCACGATAGATAAATAATGGAATCTGTGTGTGTATATTGCCTTATAAATGTTGCGTTTTAATTACATGAAATTAATGTCCCAAAAGGCATCCTGTTCACTGGTTAGATTTTTACTAACTTTTTTAATCCCTTAAGATGAACAAAAGTGCCAGCATTTACAAAGACAAGACCTCTACTGTACTTCCTGATGTGGTCAATTTAAAACTCTTCAGCTCAAACATAAAGCCTTGTATCCTATGTGCTGAGAAACAGACTGGATGCCTTTCAAATATTTCTGAAAAACATCTTGGAAACAAAATGAACACTTTCCTTGGAATTTAGCTGTTCAAGGTGATTATCTGCTGTAACCCGCTTGAATGGTGCTTGATCTCCAAGGCTACTGTCATGACTGAAAACATGCAATAGCATTCTTATTTAATGGGCAGAGTTTGCATAACTAGTAAATGCAGCACAGCTTATCACAGAAAACTCTCCTCCCCTCTGCCAACCCTGAAGAAGTCTTAAATCATGATAGAAACTGCTTAGCATGTCAATAGGCTATAAAGCTTTGAAAATAATTTCCAAGGCTGTATAACTGTCAGAAGAGAACACCTATCTTTTAAGAGCTCTTTGGCTTAGGTATGAAGTGACATTTGGACAATGCACAGGATTTTCTGGATAGAAGATGGACCTGTCTGAATCTGCTTTTATTTTCTTGCTCTCCTCTCGTGAGGATGCTTTGCTGCAGAGCTGTGCCTGGTATGGTAGTTTTGGAATTCCCTGTGCACTTTGCATTTGCAGATTAACGCATATTTAAATGAGTGACTGGGACCTGGAGGTTTATCTGGTCTGCAAGCATGTTTAAATAAAACTTTGAAACACTTCAAGCTTCCCTCCTGTCCATGTTTGTAGCCCTGAGAACAGACACTGCAACCAAAGTGTCTCAACTTGCTTTGCACACTCTTGAGGAGGTGGCTTCTTTGGGTTTCTGTTGACAGGTTCCATGTAAAATTTGATAACTACCATAGGGAGGAAACTAAGACTGCACTTGGATTGTATTTGTGATTGTACTGTATTGTCCTGCTCTGAAGTCTTTTGGGCTTAAATAGTTTTTACTGGATAAATGCCCCCAAAGTTTTTTGCTTCAGACCATTCTTCTGGTGTGGTTTAGCAATTGTCATGTGCCACTAATGCTGTGTAGATGCGTTGAACTTCTGCTAAGTTCTGCTAAATTACTGCTCTATAAATAGAGATTGATGTTCCTGTCCAAAATTTGCTTCCTAAAAGGTGCAGAAGAAATCTTTTTTTTTGGTAGTTTGAGACACAGTTGTGGTTTAGACATCTGGTCTCATAGCAAATTGTTATTGCATAGGTATGGCTGATTCCCTGCCACCTTCCTCTCCTCTTCCTGCTCTTTTAGGAGAGTGTGTGCAAGGATCCAGTCTTCAGAGTTTGTCTGTTGGAGGCGTGAGTCCAACTTGCACCTTTTGGGTTGCAAAATGACAATTATTACATAACAGGGATACTACCAGCTGACTTCTTGCTTTCACTGGGACTCTGCTCAGCAACGATTATTATTTGAGCCAGTATGTAGTGTAACTTTTATAATGTGGCTGTGATGTAGCCAAAAATCACTTGTGTCCCCTCTTAGCCTTTGGCAAGATTGTTTCTGGCAACTTGCTTCTGTTTGAGAAGTCAAATGACATTGATTTCACCACCACCACCCCCATACCTTTGTTTTGTAACCATGCTGAGTTACAGCCCTGTGAAGATCGTTTTTTTTTAACCTGAAGACGGCACAACTTGTATAGATTCATCTAAATGTCACTCGTGACTTGGTAAAGGAAGAGCTGCTTCTGAGAGTGAGAGAAGAAAGAGACCTTAGGCTGCTCTAACTTGGGTATAGTCTGAAAGATTTTAACACCCTCCCTCTGTCTTGTACTTTTTGTACCGTGCTGTCTGCAGTGCACAGAACAACGTACAGCCTTGGAGCTTTTCAAGGTAAAAGGGAGTAATCACTTCAGGCAGACTCTGTGGCTGAAGTTATCTAAGTGTGGAATACAGCCAGAGAGAAATAATAAGGTGTTTGTATTATAATTAATCAAACTAAGATAATTCATTTTTAAATACTTTCACATGAGCTTAAAAGTACCTGTTGACTTTTTAAGTGTATTGTTGGGACCTACTGATAGAAGAAAATAGTATCTCTGTAGAGATTTTGTGTATAATATTCTACATAGTAATTGGAAACTCTGGTGTGTACTGTGCATGAACATTGTGTAGGCTTCCCGTGAAGAGAACTCGTGCGTTTTTCACACCCTGAGTTTGTCAAGTTTGTGTTGGAAGAAGTAGCATATGGTACATGTAACTCTATGTGATGTTTGAATTTTTTTTTTATGAAATTGGCGCTTGCCTTTCCTGCTGGGAATAGCATTACACAGCGCTATTTCTTTAGCTCTGGAAGATTTCTTTTATTTTTGGAGTGTCTGATAAGTATCAGAAGCTAATTCTGTTTGTCTTCGGTTGCTGATGAGTATTGAAGAAATACTAGACCACAGCGCCTTGAGCTCATATGTTCAGATCTTGTTTGGATCATAATAACAAAACTACTGCAAAATGGCTGTTTGCTGCTTATGGGAAACTGCTTTGGAACTTGAGCAAGACTGCCAGATGGGAAGGAACTGCAGCCCTGACACCAACCCTGCTAACCTCAGAACACAAACCCTGATAAGCGTGCACACCACCACCACTTGTAATAGGTGGGGAGGAAAGGCTGAACAGATCTTAAAAGGAGTTATTTTTTCCCATCCCACCCCTTTTTTACAGATAACAGAAGGCTTTTAATCTGATCTGAAGAAAATTGGTTGAGTAGTGTTTGTTGTGAAACCTGCATGCCCCAGCGCTATTCTTTTGCTGGACAGCTCTTGCTTGTAGTTCAGCTAATGGTGACAGCAGTGCAAGTAATTATGACAGCTACTTTAGTGGTGTACACAGTTTGTACACCTGTATGTACTTTTGATTTGCGTTTCACTGGAGTAGTGCCATCTTTCAAGTCTGCACAAATATTGACAGTCCCAAACTCTTGAGCTTGGTGTTCATGAAAAAAGAAGATAGTACCCTTAAGCAGGTAGCTAGTTTTGACCAAATATAGGTATATAGCAAAAGGCAGAAGTAGGTTGCCTTCATATGTGTCTGTATATATCAATTTGTCCATCTCATTTGCATTGCATTCATTCTTGTGTGATACCTCACAATCCTAATTAGTGGCAATAAAGAGGTGGCTGATGAGCAAAGACCCAAACAAAACAACACAACAAAAAGCAGTGGATCGCATTCATCTTGGTTCTTAAGGGAATGCTGATATCTCGTCAAGGAAAATGCTGTATATCTAACATGCTTAATCAACAGCAGTCTTACACTGACAACCTCAGACACTGACGTGATTTCTAGTCCAGTTGGTTTTTGGTTTGGCATGTCTCAAGAGGAGATAGTTTAAATGGGTTTATGCATAATGCCATTAAAATGGGTTGGGCACCCTGGCTTTTTCCCACCTCCCTTGCCCCTCCTTGGGCACAGCTAAGAGCAAAATGGAATACTCTGGTAACCAGTTGGGGGGTATTTTTTATTCTTACCTTTACTTAATGTGTTACTGTTTGGTGGTAGTTTGCAGTAATTCACGCTCAGTTATGTACCAGGCTAAAACTCAGTAACAAGTGGAAGTACTCACTGTTATGTCAGTGCATGTTGGCTGAGGTTTATAGATGGTTGTGTATGGTAACTAGTGAGCAACATCATTAGATTGGTTCATGACTGCAGTGCTAAGTTGTTTTATTTTTGGTTTTGTTGTTTGTTTTTTTTTTTAAGTCTCCTTACTAATAGTTGAAACAACTAAAACTTGGCCTGCATGTTTATCCTTCTCCATTCTTCTTATGACTCCAGTAAAACAAAATTGAACTTTGTCTTTTGACAGTAAGAGCTAATGAGTTTTGCATTTTTAAAGCTTCTCTCTAAATTTAGATTATCTTCTTGTCTTACAGGCTGCTATATGGCAAGCACTTAACCACTATGCTTACCGTGATGCAGTGTTCCTTGCAGAAAGATTATATGCAGAAGGTATGTACTTTGCAAATATAAAGTTGATGCTTTTTTCAATTTTGATTTAGGATTTTTGAGCCTCTGCTGTTTTACTCCTGTTGTGATATTGAAGTTTAACTTTCTGCTTGGAGAAAGTGGAAGAATGCCTTGCAATTAGGTTGGAAAATCAAATCATGTAACAGCAGCGATGTTATTTTACAGTAAAAGCTCCTTAAAAAAATTAAACTCGGAGTTTTGTGTTTAAGTACAATGTTTACAGTGATCTGTAGTATGGTATCAAATGGGAGTGAGGGTTTTTTTAATACCTTAAGCATTGCGTGTCTTCCAAGGGCACTTGAGGATAGATGCAGTACACAAATTCTACAAATTGTCTTGATATTGAAAGCTGTCTTTGCTAATAATGCTGTTCAGATATGTTGATTGCTGTGTTAGCTGAAAGAGATAATCTTGTAATGATGAGAGAAAAGCGTAGTGAAATTGAGACAATGAGAATCAGAACATATGGAATAGGTATCTCCTGTTGAATTCTTGTTAATTGTTACTTCATTGTGATGCTGTCAGATCTAGGATGTCTTGGATACTGAGCAGGCAGCAGTTACACAAATCTGTACTTTTCCTGGGTCCTTCAAAGACCACGTTCTTCTTGTGTTCTACTCCCTCTTCTTCCTTAACCTTTCCTCCATGACCTCAGATAAGGTTTTTGTTCTTCTTTACTTCTTTTTCCTCGACACTGGTATTCAACTTTTCTTCTCTATTTTGAAAGATATCGTCCCCTAATTACTAACACGAAAAAAAAACAACCCAACCCTTAAGCTAAAACATAACCATAATATAATTTCTCATGCTAAACAACTTGAGCTTATAATGTGAATTAAACTGTATCATCTGTTTCATGCTCCGTGTTTTGTAATGAAATGTTTTGCTGTCAATGTTTTGCCTGACATGCCCAGAATGCACTACTTAACAATGGAAGCACAAACCTAATTTTTTAGAAATAAAGATTTTTTTTTTTTTTTTTTTCTTTTCCCCCCCCTCATGTCAAGGTTACCCATGAAATCTGGGGTCTTCCATCTGGTGCTTAAATGAGAAGCGTTGTATAGGATATTATGGAACCTTGTAATGTAGGTGTGCATAAAGGAAATAGTGTTTTAGGGATGACGTATCTCCCCTGAACACAGCACATTGTGAGATGCAGGGAAATGCTAGATTGAAGGTAATTGCCAAGGATGTAGAAGCGAAGAGAATCCACTTTTTGCAGCAGCCAGGAGAAAAATACATGACTTGATACTGACACTGTCTTTGCAGAATAATACTCTGCAAGAGTACTTCAAACAGCTTTTTTCAGTGACCCAACAGTGCTGAGAGAGAACAGCATGCATGCTGTCACTTGGTTCAAGCAATTAACTGCTGACAAAACACCTGGCTTCTGGTTAAAATAAGTAGTTATACTGCAGAGTAGAAGCTGCTGAACTTGAATACAGTGACTCCATATTGGCAGTAGTGATTTTACCCTGAGAAGAACTTTTAAGTCCACCTGCAATTACTGTCCTTGTGGGGCCATCTGTGGCTTGGTAGTTTCCCAGCACTCTTGAAGTGTGTTAAATTAGTGGATAAAAGAATTGATTTAACTTTAATTTTCAAAAAGATCTTCTGGTGTTTTTAGGATAAGGCTAATAAAATGTCCTCTCTTTGAGTCTTCAGTTTCCATTGTCACTGTCCAGGTGATGACACAAACTTAAAATAGTCAGTTTTCAGTGCAGCAAAGGATTTGAGCAGGTTGCCCACAGAGGTTTTTGTGCAATGCTTATATTGATTTTTCTGAAGAGTTCCATGTAGGTAGATGAACAAACATAAGAATTGTTTCTTTTAATGCTGAATTCCTTTGGCATGGTAGTGTGTTCTGAAAAGTATAAAGTAATGTGGGTTTCTTAATTGTTTGGAGATTTAAGTTGCTTGCCTTTATAGATAGCCTTTCTTTGATTTAAAATAGATCATTGCATAAGGGTGACTTGAGTGTAACATTTGGGGAAGTACAAAGAATAGGGTAATAGGTACAAAGATTATTTACATGGCTGTACATAATCTGTGAGCATATCTGAATATCTCCCTCTTTTTGCTTAAAACCCAGAAAACGGAGTTAAAATGAAGTCACATAGATACTTCACACAATCGTAGCTTAATGCTCAAATTAACACCACAGCATGGTAATGCTCACCGTTGCCTCACAAAAGTGCATTCTCTGGCATTTAAAGTTTCAGCTGGTTTTAAAGTTACTTCAGGGGTTAGCTCTCTGTCCTTTATGCTGTAATCACAAGTAAAATCGGCAAGTCTGACCTCAGTCTTAAATCTGGGTGCCAAGTCAAGCTCTTTGAATAGAACATTCTCGGTGTGGTACATAATTCATCTCTGCAATGGAAGAAGTGTTGAAGCAGACATCAAATCTAAATATTTCCAGTTTCTGCCATAGAGAAATGTTTTTGTCTTGATTACTCTTGTTCTCTGTTTAGATAGAGGTGATTTTTCCTGAAGCCTGACTACTTCATTCAGAATTTAGAAACTTGTGAGAACTCAGCTTGGGAAGAGGATTTGTAGGAGAGCTACTTCGTAACATAAAATAAATAAAGCATCTGGATGGTAATGTTAAGCCATGTTCCCAATGAAATAATGAGCGTAGGCAGCAAAAAGGACAAGACTTAATGTTGGGGTAGAGGTGACTGGTAATTGACTGACTTTAATAGTCATTAAAATCAGAAAATCTGCTCCGCTAAGTCATATGGAGATACAGCATCAAGGAAAAGACCAATTGAAATTAGGATTAAAACTGTTAATTAGGCTACTTAGGCTGAAATAGATCTTCCTTCTGAAAGTTCTGCTACTTCCTTGTCGTGGTTTAACCAACCACGCAGCCGCTCACTCACTCCCCCCCTTCTCCTCATACTAAATCCAAAACACAGCACTAGCAAGAAATTTAACCCTATCCCAGCCGAAACCAGGACATTCCTAACAGCCATTGTTGTGCCAGTGTTTATGTACTGCCTACGCTAGTGCCAAGTGTTACTAGCAGGTGTGATAATACTCTGAGCCAAGTCTTGGTGTGGCCAATGAGTTGTTAAAGTAGCTCTGTTCTGCTAGGAGTGACTGCTTTGCTTGACTTGCTGTTATTTTAACAACAAGCTGGCTAATCACGTACTTAGATCGGGTAGCCAGAAGGATCAAAGTTCTCTTACAACAGTAGATGTTAAGAGTTGGTCTGACTATACAAGAAAATGGCATGTGGAAGTTTGTTATATGCCGATGAATAAAGAAATGCACTTCATTCAATAATGAATTTCTCTAATATCAATACTCATGTTCTTGTATCTTGTTCCTACCTGGCTTTTACTCCCTGCCCCCAAATTCCTTGTATCGAAACGGTAAAACAACCACCTGATGATTTTTTTATTTTTTTACTTTTTAGTACATTCAGAAGAAGCACTGTTTTTACTGGCAACGTGTTACTACCGCTCAGGAAAGGCCTATAAAGCATACAGGCTCCTAAAGGGACACAGCTGTACTACCCCACAATGTAAATACCTGCTTGCAAAATGTTGTGTTGACCTCAGCAAGTAAGTAAAACCTTTGTGTTCTGTCCAGGGTCACAAATGCATTTTTTTGTTTGGATTTCTCTTTGAAAGCTGTCATATTGCATAAACTAGTAATTCATTGGTCCTTCAGCTCTAAAGATTATTATAAGTTCAATTCATTTTGCTTTCAGATATGGACCTAATGAACATTAGCCCATATTGCAGAAACCTCTAAAAGGTATTGAATAACTTACAAAGGAGTTGTCAAGCTGTGTAGGGGGAAGAAACATTGATTACTGAGATGACTCAAGGAGACCACTCTGGGAAGTGTTTGATTTTGCTTTTGTGTTTCTCTGATGCTTTGCTTATTTCATTAAGTGTTGCCAGTATGAATTTAAGGGGTAGGCCACTTCCCTCAAACAGTAAGCTTGCTTCTCTTACCCAGTTGCTGCTAATGGGTGGGTGAGGGAAGAGATAGCAGACAGAAATCTGTTTTTAAAAACCCACAACAAACCCACCTTGAATCCACATCCAAGAATGCTGTATTCAACATCAAAATTAACCTTGACAGGGACAGTGACAAGGCACAGCCTTGACAATAGTGTCAAGGTATCTTGCTGGTTTTCTGGAGTCTAACAGCAAAAGTATATAATGAAATTGCTCAAGCTACAGGCCCTAATGCTGTGAGAGTCTGTTAGTAAGGGTATCTCACTTCTATATAGATCTTTCAGCTCAAATGTAGGAAACAATGTCTGACTGAGGTGCAGAATGGAGAGGATGAGGCACCAAGAAAGGCAAAAGCTTTCATTCAAAAAACTTTAAATACTGTGGGGGTTCTTTACAGAAGCTTAAATGTCTCTACAAAACAGCTTGTGGTTATGTGTTGTGTCTGGTTTTGGTTTGGTGTTTTTTGAATGGCCTTCTTTCAATGACAAAAAAAAAATTAATTTCTTTAGAATAGGTAATGTGATATTTGGAGTTTCACACAGTATGATGCGATTATTTTGCAGGATTCGTGATCCTGCTCACAACACGTAACCAAAATGCAGGCTGCTCCAGAGGCAGCAGGGGAAGCTCCTTAGTCTTTGATACTCTCTTCAGTAGGCGAGTCCTTTGACATCTTTAGAGTAGTGAGGATGTCTTGACTTGTTGTGTTTCTTTTGACACTCTTTTTAACACTTTTGGAGCTATTAGGGTACAGGTTTTTTTTGCATCTTCCATGAATAAGGAAATCATGTTAATGTTCTACTTGGAAAGGTCCCAGTGGAATAAATATGCAGCTGATTGTTCCCTCCCTTGCTTTTACAAAGTCTCGTGTGTGCATATAGTACATCAGATTCTGAATTTATTTCAGTTAGATAGGTGGGATTTCTTAAACGTATTCTTTAGAATTTGTTAAATTTAACTGTCATTGCTGTTACAGTTGTATGAGCTCATTTATACAGATGTACCTTATTTTCTTGTGGGAATGGTCTATACTGATAGACCAAGTATAATTTCAAGTGGAGGCAAGAAGAGATGATTTGTTTGTGCAGGTGTTGGTCTCGGATGCCGGAAGAATGCCTCCCATCCCCAGAAGTTGTATAAAGTCATTTTCAAGCCTAATAGTGAATGGCCCATTCCATGTGAGCGGTACTGCTTGCTGCAGGTGTAGTAGATGCAGACAGAGCCTTTGTTCTCCTTTTGAGCCCCTCCTGCAAGAAAGCAAGGCATTAAAATCCAAAGTCTGTGCCATATCCCAATATTGGTTGTTAACTGAGTGCGTGGAGCCTTACAGATTGTATTTCTCAGTTGGGAAACAAAGCCAAGCTAAGCATTATCTTAGCTTGTTACTAGGTAAAGTACCTTCAAAAATGAAGTGTCTAGAAGACTTTCTTGTCCTCCGTTTGTATTCTGCCTAAGATCAGTCACTTCTGGAAAAGTCATGTTGTATTATGTGTCTCTGGTTTTGGAGTGGTGTGGGTTCTTGGGTTTGTTTTGGTTTTCTTCCCTCCCAGTAGAGATGTTTGGCTTCACAGTACTGCATACCTCCATGTTGCTAGAGGAATCCATCAATTATTTAAAATTAATTTGCAAGAACTAGTTTGTACATGGTTTGAAACTTGTGAACACTGACAGTGGATTTCTGTTTTTGTTTGCAGCAGGGTGAAAACACTGGACTACCAATACTGTGAGCCTTGTAACCCCTTTAAACCTCTTGTTTTTTAAAAAGGCTTGCAGAAGGAGAGCAGATCTTATCTGGTGGAGTGTTGAATAAACAGAAAAGCCATGATGACATTGTTATGGAGTTTGGTGACTCTGCATGCTTTACGCTCTCCTTACTGGGACATGTCTACTGGTAATGTTGCTTTTTTTTTTTTTTTTTTTGTCTAATAAAGCTTGGGGTTTTTTATTTGATCAGGCCCAATTTTAGTCAAATACATTTTTTGTCACCACAGGGTACATCTGTCTCTGGGTTATGTGGCCTGCACAATTTCGGAGTATGGTAGATGCAGGTAGATAGTTGTGGAAGCCATCTAACTTGGCAATGCAAGAATGGTTTGCCTTTCACCCAGAGCTTCTGATTGACTGAAACACAAAATCTTCTTTTCCAGGTTGTTAAGCATGCAATCCAAGAGATTTTTTTTGTGTTATTTTTTAATATACCTTTGGGTTTGTTCTGTATTCTTCCCCATGAGAAATTTTCAAGGCCTGTTTCTCAGTGTTGCCATTTTGATTTTTCTGTATCTATTTTACAGATGTATAGCTATAACCTTCAAATGAAAGTTTTGAGGACTGCCAGTCAGAATAACTTTACAAATTTAAGTGTTTTGCTTTTGCCTAGATATAAGAAAGGTTACAGTAAATGTGAGTAGATTGCATAGGAATAGTGGGGTTCTTGGATTCTTCTCTAAAAAAATTCTCAAAAAAATTTATTTCAGAAGCAGCTACATTTGTAGCCAGACACTTAAGTGTTCAGTGTAGGCCCTAATTTATATGCAAAAATATTGTCCATAGATATTTAAAATAGCTGGAAGGCTAGTAATCAGGTTGCTGTTTGCAAAAAAGAAAAAAGCTGTTGCAGAGAACAGCATCTTTCTAAAACGAAAATTCTCAAGCCACACTAGTGCTTATGTAAGTTTTTTTTGAGGGCTGTGTCTAAGTAGCTTTCATCTGTGTCTAAATATGTCAAAATTAACTTCAAAAGAACTCAGTGTTACTCTGTGGCTTGAAAAATGAGGAATGTTGCTGTGACTGTCAACATGTTTTTGTTTTTCAACTCCTCTCCTGGAAAGCTATCTTGAACAAAAGTGCTGTTCTTAAGTTTCCCTATAAACTGTTACATTCTTTTTGCAGCAAGACAGACCGGCTTGCCAAAGGATCAGAATGTTACCAAAAGAGCCTTAGCTTAAATCCTTTCCTCTGGTCCCCTTTTGAATCGCTATGTGAAATAGGTAAGTCTGCAGAACTGTTTTACTAGTGAAGATGTCTTCTGTGATTCTGGTTACGTCAAGCTTTCTGATTTGCCGTCACCATGTGGCAAGGTTTATTTTACTCCTTGTCCAGAATTAGTAAGGAAAATGCCAGCAGAATTCTTTGGGAGTGGTTTTGTGAGCAATAATGCATTTAAAATAGTTTGCCAGTGTTTAGAGCTTTTGTCTTGTTTTCTTCCGTTTTCATTACTTACACGTTTTTGGATTCAACAATACCATATGTTTTCCAACCTACAGTTAGTAGACCCTTAGAAACTATGCTTCTGAGAATAACTTAAAAAAGCAAGTCTATTTTTTAATAAAACTGATTGTCCAGGGTTTTGTAGTGGAAGAACACTTCTGATTTAGCATGAGGGGTTTTAAAACAATGAAATAAGAACGCACCCCTTCTAAAATACTTTGTCCCCTGTCCTCCTTGTTTCAGACTGAATATTCAGCATATAGACTCAGGAATAACTCTATTTAAATCTCCTTCCAATCTTACAGGTGAAAAACCAGACCCTGACCAAACATTTAAATTAACATCTTTACAGAACTTCAGCAGCTGTCTGCCTAACACTTGCACAACGTTGGTATCTAATCACAACATATCCCATAGACAGCCTGAGACTGTTCTTATGGAAACGCCGCAAGACACAATTGTGAGTTTTGCTAAAATCATTGTATTTAAAGCAGTCTTTCCAGCTTAACTCAAAAATGCTAATTAGAAACTACACTGCGTGGGTATCTAACAGCTGCCTTCCATTTTTCAGGAGTTGAACAGAATCAACCTAGAATCCTCCAATTCAAAATACTCCTCCTTGAACACAGATTCTTCTATGTCTTACATTGACTCGGCTGTAATTTCCCCAGATGCTGTCCCTCTTGGGTCAGGAACTGCCATATTGTCTAAACAGGCTCAAAATAAACCAAAAACCGGGCGGAGTTTACTGGGGGGACCTGCGGCTTTGAGCCCACTAACTCCAAGGTAAGTCCTTGAGATAGACAATTTCTGTCTACAGCTGTGCTGTTGATAATGTTTGTGATTTGAAACAGGAAAGATGTCTGGTGCTGCACAACATACTTGAACACGCATGTTGATAGCATATTGTAAATAATGGTGCAGAAGCAAAAGCTAAACAACTTCAGTAACTGCTCTTGGTCCTAGTGTTCATCTTTTCTGGTTTTTAAACAAGCATTTGGTATTATTGCTTAGAAGAGAGGAACTGTTGATTCAGTATATTGCTTATTGTGATGTTCACACTGGAAAAATCTTTAAAGGAATATGTTTCTGCTCTGGAATAAACTTTATTATGAAAAGCTACTCTTAAGAGCTTTCCTTGAAGAATAGCTCTTTTCTAAAGAGCATGTAAATATATGCTTTGTCCTATATGCCATTTTATTTTAACAGTGTTATATTACAAGCCATTAATACTTGGATGGTACTGTGTCTATTAGTTATTATGCAGGCAGGCAAAGAAAGTTCTGTATTTTTCAATTTTAGGAATAAGAATAGTTTCTATTAAAGTATCTTTTATAGATGAGGATAGTAAGATATTAGAGGATTAACATAAATGAATGAAGTAGTTGTGATATAAAGTTGATCATCTGGGTCTCCGTTTTAACGGCAGAATCAGGCCAGCTGTCGTGGTCTAACATTCAGACATTGACCCTTCCTCTTCCTTTTGTTCTCAGCTTTGGAATTTTGCCACTGGAAACCCCAAGCCCTGGAGATGGATCATATTTACAAAACTACACAAACTCTTCTTCTGTAATTGATGTGCCATCCACAGGAGCACCTTCAAAGAAGGTATCTTGCATTCTAGAATGTGATTGCTGTTCTATAAATTTGACATTGCAGTGTACTTTAAAGAAGAATCCATAATGCAGATAAAACCATCGCACGTGAGCTGAATTGTGCTGACAGTGAGGAGAACCCGACTTATCCACTGTTTACAAAATCTGTTTTGAAAACCAATTTGTCTGAGTGTGGAACTGATCGCAGCCTCCTTTAGTTGTGGAAGTCGTTCGGGTTAATTAAGTGAGAATTAAATTTATGTCTAATTTGTCTACAAAATGCGTTTAAAAAAAAAATTTGCTCTTACTAACAATTACTTAATGCAGCAGCTCACGTATATTTATAAGCTAGTGAGGTTTGGGGTGAGGGGAGCAGTTTTAATTTGGCAACAACTGGTCAGGTATTTCCCTGACAAAATTTTTTAGACTTTTCTGAAATGTTAGTTAAAATAAAATTCATTGTAGAATAGTCTGTTACATTGAACTAACTGTGTCTAAAGCCTCAATAGTGGGTTTTTTTTTAATTTTATTTTTAAAATCTTCTTTTCAGCTAAACAAATGAGGCAGCAAGAAAAAAAATACACCATATCTCAAGTAAAGACGTCTGTGTTGTAAATATTTTCAGCTTATCGTGTCACTTCCTTTGGCTAGCAAAACAGATTTTTGTTTTCTCAACTTCTATAATGATAACCAATAGTCTTTTATTTCTTAATTAAAACAAGCCCTTTTTTTCCCACCCGAAATGCACAGGCATGTGCAGACTGCCTAGCTGGTGTTGCTAGAGGCAACCTGAGGAAGGTGCTGTATCTTCTGTCCACCTGCCATCAGAGGGAATGTACAAACACTGATGCTTCTAAACAACGAAGTATTTGTAACTTTTCAGTGTGCGAGGTGGACAGCCCAAACTTGGAGTTTTCACTTTAAGTTTTTTTAAATTAATGTATTTTCAGGGATGAGTTCAAATAATCCGAGAAGCCTCAAGTGAGCTGAAGCTACTGCTTTCTTGCAAGCAGTTCTTGAATTTCTAGTTTACAGACCAGAGTAATCAAAATACTGCTGGTGGAGGGCTGACTGTGGAGCCTTGTGGAGGGCTGCCTGATAGAAGGGTCCTGTTTTACTTGGCTATGTCTTGTGTAGAGGAAACTAAAAATTTTCTTTTTTACCCTGTAGGAAACTGCCATAGTTGCCATAGTGATAAATGAGAGGTGGAATGTTGATGACAGTTGAAGAACCGTTTGTTCCTTTCTAGAAACAAAAAACCTGAAGATTTTTCCCTGTATTTTTAGTATATCTAGAAGTTGCATGAGGGATGTTAGTGTTCTATAGGTGGCCAACTCTTTTAAAGTAAAGCTCAGTGCAAGTAATAGTGTTGAATTCCTCAAAAAGTAGAACTTGAATTTCCACATTTGATGCTCCGGAGAAATCAGTTGGTGCTCAGCTTGCTGTGCCATTCTGCAAGTGAAACTTGGCAGAATTTGTTAAAAGTTTTTTAAAAAGAGTTTGTTAAAAACAGCATTTGTCTTCTCTCGTTGGCCCAACACTTAAAAGAATAAAAGCCAGTAAGCAGATAACTTTCTTTTCCGCCCCCCTTTTGGGTGGTCTTCTGAAGCCGGTGACTGGGAACTCTGGAATCTCATTGCACAAGCCATTATGGTATCCTGTCTTGGCACATCTTATTACTGCAACTTTAGTTAGTCCTGTCTTTTTTTTTTTTTTTTTTTTTTTTGCCTTTGTTCTGTTGGGGTTGGACTGTGCTAAAACAGTCTGCTGGAAGTATGCTTTGGCTGATCCAATTCCCATCTTGTAGTTGCTCAGGACCGACCAGTCTTCCACAGTACAGTCAAAAACACTGGCTTGTGGTGCATGTAGGAAGGTAAACTGTCATGAGTCTGAAAAATTGAAATAGTTAGCAAAGTGCAGCTCTTCAGCATAATACTCATCTGCATTTAATCTCACGTGTGTACTACCTGATAGATGAAAAGCTTTGGGGAATCAAATCATGGTTGCTGCTTCTTTGTTGCTTTGCTAGGTATGGCACAACAGCACCGATGTGTAAATTTTGCTAATCCATGCATATGCCTTCTGCCCAGATGCATCTGTGCTGCTACCTAAACACAAATATTTAATACATTTTAATAAACAGTTTAGAATTCTGATGCATGCTTTGTCCAATGCAAATAATTACTTGGCCAGTTTCACTTCTGCTCTTCAAATTACTGCCTTAGAAAAGGTTTAGTGTAGCTGTGGCTAGAATGTGCATGACTTAACGGAGGCAGTTTCCTAGGAAACACTTACGTAAATGAAGGAAACACTAGGATGGATCCAAAGGCTTCCTATCTGAGTGGGCAAGCATGCTTGCTGGCCGCCTAAACTGTCCTCTGATAACAAAGAAACTGAGAAGGGAAGGGAAGGACAAAACATTAGCAGTCAGATAATGCATAAAGTGGTGTTGCTTGTGCTGTCATTGATCCCACTTGCCGATTTCTGGTGTCTTAAAGAACATCTCTTCCGAACAGCCATCACTGAGTTGAATGTGAGCGTCCCTGGAGTGGGCAGAAAGATAGGGTTTAAGCTTTCTTTAAAAAGCAGGGAGGGGAGGACCAGTTCTGAATCCTTTATAGGAAGCCTACACATCAGACAATGAACTTCTATCTGAACTTATTCCTTAGGTCTCAGATTCACAGTCAAGTTGTCACAGCTCTAAGTTCCCACATCTCAGCTGTTCCAGGGTAGGCATCAAAAAGCACACTTTAGCTCTCTGAAGATGTAAGACAATGTTTTGGTGCTAAGTCATATTACATGCTTGCAACCTGTGGCAAATAAAAGGTAGAAAAAATGTGCATGTGCGCATAAAGCGTTGCTCAACTGACATGCAGTAACTTGCTGCGCCATGTTAATTTGACTGTCGGTATCTGTCTATCAACTTTCTATGCTGCATAATGCAGGTCCCTTTTTGATGAAGCAGTTTATTTCCATATCTGCTCCAAAGGCTCATGCAGTAATGATTTAATTTGTGAAATACTGATTTATGCTATGAACAGGTATGCTAAGCAGGGGAGCATCAGGCTCAGATGTTGTACAGTGAGCACCTCAATGAGGTGTTAATAGTCAATGGCTTCTGGATGTGACTGTAATATGATAATTCAAAAAACTTTTTCTTTCCGTGGTTGTTTTTTTGTACCACTTTCTGTGGAGAAGGAACTTTAAATATGACATCTTTTCATTCCCTTTTATTCTTGCACAAACATCTTAACATACAGTTTCTTGCCACTAGATGGAGATTTTATATCTTTCAAATAGTGTGCATGAAGTTGGTAAACTGAGTGTTATTGGCATTTTAACAGGTAGAAAGAGAAATGCTTTTGATGGGCCCTCCTTGGAGGGCGACCCTCAGCCTTTATTGAAAGAGTCTGTATTTATCCTATATTTATCCCCTTTTGTGCAGAGTTTGATAGGCAGAATGGATTTGGTTTGATATAGCAGAGATTGAGACTTCTTAGTGACATAATAACAAACCTGTAGAAACTTTGTGTTATGCAGACTGTCAGCAGGATAAGCCAAGCTGGAACAAAATCTGTCTTCTCACAGAGCGGAAATAGCCGGGAAGTCACTCCAATTCTTGTTGCACAAACACAGAGCTCTGGCCCACAGACAAGGTAAGGGAAAAAACAAAAAAATCATCTTGGTATTAGCTTTTGTATCTCCTTTCTTGAAGGAATTTGGCACTTTATTTGCCCAACCTGTGTGGGTGTTCCTGCAGAATTCCTCTTTGGATGAGGAAGAAGTGTATTTTTTGTTGGGTAAAATAACTTCAGTGGATAAGCAGGAAGCTTGTGCATGGTGGTTGGTCTGTTTGTTTTAAATCTCCTTTGCAGTTAGACCATTTCATCAATAATGAAAAAGTAACTGGAAGGAAATTCTGCTTATGTTCTTAACATAAAACAGGTAGATTTTTTTTTTTTCATTCCTTGAAATGGGAATATCTGTGCTATAGTACTTGAGCATTTTCCTTTAAAACAAAGATAAAAGCTGTTTTTATTAAAAAATGGAGTGAAGAACTTTAGTTTTTAATGTGCCGTTTGTTTTCAGTACAACACCTCAGGTATTGAGCCCAACAATTGCTGCTCCACCAAACGCACTGCCTCGAAGAAGCTCTCGCCTATTTACTAGTGATAGCTCTACAACAAAGGTAACAAACTTCATGTGTTTTGCAAACTTGTGGGTTTCTTACCCATGCCAGTGTACTGACTAATTTCCCCATAAGCGTAGCAATTCTATCAGCTTAAGAAGAGGTTCTATAATGGGCAGAACTTATGAAATATCTGGCTGTACAAAACATGTCATGATGCCATGATATGTTACTCTTTAAACTCTCAAGTGCTCAACTAAAATCGTAGGAAGAAAAGTATCATGAACAAAACCAAAGATACACGCTGGGTTAACAAATGCAGTGGTGTTGCTAGCTGTCAACCCATTTGATAAAGAGGTTGTGTTGTTCAGATGTTTATTGAAGAATCCATTTTGAGCAGATACTTTTTTTGCCAAAACAAACTTACTTTCATATCGTTTTTTTGCACTTCAAACAATGGAGTGGAACACTAAAGTGCAAATACTCATGGACTGCAGTTAGGCAATGTGAACGTTTACTGTTTAAAAATGAACTACTAAACATATTCAATTAAGTTAGCGAGTGTCCGTATACTTAAGGTTAAAAATCAAATGGCTGGGCATCGTTGTTAAGGCTGCAAAGAGGCATAAATATAACTTTACACAATTCACTTTCATGTTTAGTTACCTGAACTTAAAAGACTTTTATATATGTGCCTCTTATTCTTCTTACTTGCAGGAAAACAGCAAAAAATTAAAAATGAAGTTTCCACCTAAGATTCCAAACAGAAAAACAAAAAGTAAAACAAATAAGGGAGGAATAACTCAACCAAACTTGAATGACAGTTTGGAAATTACCAAACTGGACTCTTCCATCATTTCAGAAGGGAAAATTTCCACTGTTGCGCCACAGATCCAGGCTTTTACGCTACAGAAGGCAGCAGCAGGTCTGTTTGAACTCTATTGGACTAATAGAGTAAAAACTTCATATATCTGTATTTTAAGGTTGAATGAAAAAAAAGTTTGCTCCAGTGTTTCTTTCTTCCTTGTTTCAGTTAGCCTGCAGCTATCACCTTTGTATAATTATAAAGACATTAACTAGAAGATACTGAATTCAACTTACGAAGAACATGTGAAGAAGTAGTAAAAAGTGGCTAGTTGTAAGCAGATACATCTTGCAGGCTCTGGTCCTTATTAATGATTAAAATATTTTCAGGCAAGATCCTTGGAAACTGATTCAAAGGAGCTATGAGTAACCCAGTCGTCTTCCCTCAAAATCAGGTTTATGTAGTCTGTTCTCCCTTCATATTTCCCGTTTGTTTAAAAACAAGTCTTTATTCAGATTGTCAGAAAATCCTAGACAAACTGCTGGATTCCTCTCTTTTGGCTCGATAATGTTTCCAGGCAGCAAGAAGATGTATCCATGGATACCAGACATGTGGAAACTGTGTTCAGACCTAACAAAATGTTTGAATAGCTGCTGTAAATGCAAAGTTGCCCTGAACTTCAGAGTTTCTCTGTTCCTGAGCGTTCTGTTGCTGGCTTAAGAAGTTGTTACTATCTGACTTCCAGTACAAAGGTTGATGTTTAGAATATTATGCCTAAGTTAAGAGGCATAAGCCTGTGTTTGGGAATTCCCGAAAGGTTTTCATAAGCAAATTCAGGAGCAGTACCTGCCACAATGAAGAGCTTATAGGATTAGCAATTTGAAGTAAATAAGTCTCAGCTGTCTTTTTTTCCACTTTTATTTATTGTATTTTTCTCCTAGAAGGTTTGATGAGCCTTCTCCGTGACATGGGGAAAGGTTATTTAGCCTTGTGTTCATACAACTGCAAAGAAGCGATAAATATTTTAAGCCATTTACCATCCCACCACTACAACACTGGCTGGGTGCTGTGCCAAATTGGGAGAGCTTACTTCGAACTTGCAGAATATATGCAGGTAGGAACTGTGTGGGTTGGTTCTTACTCTTTTCACTTTTGTTTTGCATAGCTTTGCACAAAACCTGCAGACTTCCTGTAAAAGCTATGGGAAGTTTACAGTTCAGATAATTGTATAAATGTAAAAGTTATAGGTAGAATGGATTTAGATCTTGAATCTGCATCAGTAGTCATAGAGCTTTCCTGAAGAGGCTGAGTTACACTTTAGATTTCTTCTAATGTTAAGTTATTTCCTCTTGCATCCAACTACTGGGGTCTCCTCCTTGCCTCTCCCTGACTTCACCCACAGCTGTGCTGATGTAATTGTTTGTACTGCAATGTGGTAAATTGGATCAGTGAAACAATTCTCACTCTTTTTAGTTTACATAGATCACATCAATGACCTAGTTTCCTTTGCAGCCTCAGAAATGACAGCATTGGCACAGCTGAGGTGATGTCAAACCGCTTCAGAAACAGAAGCAAGTGGTTAAGGGTAATCCAGCAGTTTAACTCTCCTTGTCACTGTTGTCCTGATAGCTGATGTGCCCATTTTCTCAGAAGTTTTTTTAAATACTTTTTGACAGATGTGCAGGGGACAAATGCAGTAGGTTTCAGAAGCGTTTTTTAAACTGTACACAGAGTCCGATGAGAGATGGAGCACATTGTGCTTCTTAATAATTTATTTTGAAAACTGAGGCTACAGACCTTAATGATTTCCTAAAGCTAGCCTTCTTCCCTTGTTGCTGCTTTGAGTGTTGTAACCTGGAACTTACGTTTATGAAATAGATATCTACGTTAGAAAGACTTCATTAGTCAATTGTTCGTAAGAAGCATAGCTGTCTCAGATGAAAATAAAGCACATGTGTGTTGTCACATGCTTATGCATGCCCCCATCCCTGCATCAGCCGTGTTTACTGCAGTGATTGTCATGTTGCCTTTTGCCTGGAGGGGTGTAGGACTCAGTATGAATGCGATACTTGTCATCTGTTAGAATGGCTAATAATCATAACTGGCCCATAAAAGTATGCTATACTTTCTCCTGATTTTGCAGATAACTTTTTTGCCTTACTTGTGCGCTGTGATAGAAACAGTAATTTAATCTGAGTCAGCAGTAGGGAGGGCTGGCTGCATTTCTGCTGGCATAACTATCTTGGGGTATAGTCGCTTCCTTCGCTTGAAGGGAAATTACAGGACTTGTAGCTCTGCATTGTACACTTACAAAGCAAAGAGGATGCTCGTATGAGGCTTCTAACCTTGACCTATGTGCTCTGCTTTGGTGGTGGAATTTTATTTTAAGTTTGATTTCTGTTCTTAGGCTGAGAGAATATTTTCAGAAGTAAGGAGGATTGAAAACTACAGAGTAGAAGGCATGGAGATCTATTCGACTACGCTGTGGCATCTGCAGAAAGATGTTGCTCTTTCAGTTCTTTCAAAGGACTTGACGGACATGGATAAAAACTCACCGGAGGTATAAAATGCTGTGGTCTTGAATGAGAAGAGGGTAACTGTATGTGGCAAAATCAATGATTCAGAAAAAAGCTCTGAGCTCTAATCTAGTTCAAGTGTATCCTCCTGTGAGAACTGCATGGGAGAACTGGAGAGGGAGGTGGCAGGATTGTCTGTTGAACTGATGATGCCTGAAATGGCTTCTTAGAATTAGAATATCAGCTTACATAGAACAGGTTGAAACCTTTTATCTATTACTGGTTATTTAAATTTGCATTGGCACCATTCATCCAGGAAGATCATGGGTTAGTCAGTCACTCCAACTGCTGCCAGCGTGCAAAGATAAGGAATATCTTTTTCCTGTACCACCTTTTAATAGCTGTAGTTAATTCACTGGCACTTAAAACATATTTGCTCTAGAATTTACTTTCAGACATAATGTTGCACACTTTTATACCAAAGTCTATTAAACTGGTAATACAAAGTCACGATATGCAAAAAGCCAGGCATCTTTTAATGGATGCCACAGTAAAAGTAATAGATGTATGCATTTATAAATGTGTTCTTAACAGAGTTGAGAAAACTGTAGATTATATTGGGATTTTTTTTTTTGTTGAAGGAGAGAATCCTGTTCGTGTTGTCTTGTTAGCTTGTCTAATAGTGGAAAAATCAAAACCAATGAAGCAGTTGGTAGTTGTAGTAAGATAGTCTGGAGAGAAGAAAATGCAGATTCTAATACAAGGAGTGGAGAACTGCTATGCAATTTGGCAGTGATGCAAAAAATTTGGGGAAAATAAGGGACCCTGGGCTGTGACGCTTTACAATCTCAATGCTGGTTGCTGAGCAGGAGGGAAGGAGGAGGTTGCTGCTAAAATTGTTGCTCTGCAGATTCCCAGGTTTGTCAGTTGGAGGGAGCTGAAGATTGAAAGTGAATGTACCGTCTCCCCCTTCATTATTCTTAAATATCTAAGATGTTTTATTTCTAGCCTTTTCAACAGCTTCAAAAGCTTTAGTCATTAGTCATCGAAGTATCTAATTGGCACAAACTTGTTGGGTGTCCTTAGATTCTCGATTTCTGTATTTCAGCTTGTCTAGCTATAAGATGTATTTAGGCCTATCTGCCTTTCAGGAATGAGACTTAACTAACTGTTGTTTTATTATTGTTGTTGTTATTTTTTAATCTAGGAGGAAGTTATATACAATTATGTAAATCAGTATGGAAAAATCCGTTCGGTTCAAACTTAGTCACTCTGAGTTGTAAAAAGTGTGCTAATTTTGCAATGCTGTTTTTACTAGGCATGGTGTGCTGCAGGAAACTGTTTCAGCTTGCAACGAGAGCATGACATTGCAATCAAGTTCTTCCAGAGAGCCATTCAAGTTGATCCAAACTATGCTTATGCCTACACCCTGTTGGGGCATGAATTTGTGTTAACAGAAGAGCTAGACAAAGCATTAGCTTGTTTTAGAAATGCAATCAGAGTCAACCCTAGACACTATAATGCATGGTAAGTTTTGCTTCATCCCTCTCCTATTGCACGTGATGCAGATTTCCTTTTGGAGAAATATCTTCTGGATGTTGCCACTGCTATCGTTTCCCTACCACTCCTCTCTCTAAGAAGAGAGCAAAGCTATTTCCACAGAAGATGCGGGCCTCATCTGTTTTAATAAACAGTTACTTCCACAAGGAGGGCAAAAAATTGGAGTTTTCTTGGTTTCCACAGATCTTCTTGGCTGTATTACCCCAGCTATTTTGTTCTTCTGTGCAGCACTCCTCATGCATCTAGTTGACTGTTCTTCACTTGCAGTTGGAGAGATGAGAGGTCTGCCCCTTTATACCTTAGGATACAGTTAGTTTCTTACAGCTTTTTCTGTGGGAAAAATATATAAAGCAGTAAAAGTTAGATCTGCTAGTGTAAGTCACTTAGTCTTGAGAAACTTTTTGTATGCTTTTTACTTTGTAGCTGTTTAGCCAGTCTTCCTGTGTATCAGATACCAATTCTTCAAACTACCCAACTGAGCAAAAAAACCAAGATAATTTTAGACATAGCTTTTTCTCACAGGAAATCATTTCCTACCCTGGGTAGGGTTGGCAAGTCTTTTCAAACTACCCAACTGAGCAAAAAAAACAAGATAATTTTAGACATAGCTCACAGGAAATCGTTTCCTACCCTGGGTAGGGTTGGCAAGTCTATAGACCATTTCTGCCAGGTCATATTCACTGACAAAGACTAGTTTGATTAGAATACAGTCTTACTTAACAGAATTGTTTTTCTGCTTGTAGGTATGGCTTGGGAATGATTTATTACAAACAGGAAAAATTCAGTCTAGCAGAAATGCATTTCCAGAAAGCACTTGATATCAATCCTCAGAGCTCAGTCTTACTGTGTCACATTGGAGTAGTAAGTAGATTGCACTTAACTCTATCCTTGTCGTGTTTTTATCTGCTTCCATACTTTGTTTGCAGTAGAAAAGTCATTCTGAATGTTTTTAGCAAAAAAGCCCAACAAGTTCAGAGTACCTGTTGGAGGATCTTAAGTGCTATATGAATGAATAACCACAGGATTAATGTGTCAGAAAAGAAACCCTCCTCTCTCTCCAAACTACTTTTAGCCGGCAATGGAATTATAATATCAGGTCATGTTTGTGAATCGGCCAAAATAGTAGTGATATGAAAATCAAGACTGTGTGCAGATATTAATGTGAACAGAGTATTTATACGGGGTTTAGGGTTTTTATACTTAAGAAATTAAGTGTTTTTTAACTGCTATTGCATGCACTTGGACCAGCGCTTCCAGTTCTATAAAATGCTAAGGCACCCATCTCACCTTTCAGAGTGCAATATTTTTGTCCTGGCTGTACGTCTGCGTTGCCCTCATTCCAGTCACTTGTAGATGTCACGACTTACTACTTAGGCCACTTTATGCCAAGTGAAGTTTAAGTAGCAGGTGGCTACTTCAGCCACCATCCGTTCAATTAAATTTACAGGGCTATTTGAAAAGTTGGTCATTTATCCATCTGCTACTGCAGTCCTTAGAAGACAGTAGCCTTACTCTAGTGAATGCTTGCTTACAAAGTCGGGAAGCGGTTCTCAGATATTCGTGATGGTGACTTAAGACTGTGTCAGTGTGATGGATGGCTACCTGCTGGCATTCATTTCCCTTCTGTGTGGCAGCAAAGCAGTGTCAAATTCTACAGGGATAGTGGCTTCTTCTTGCTTATATACTGAGAAAGGCATTGAGTTCACTCCTGGCCGAAGGTTAAATGATTTCTGACACCCATTGGGTGGGGAGGTGGTTTTGAGGTGGAGATGGGGCGAGGTGAAGTTTTCTTCCTGTAAGAAAGTTTGTTAAGACTTGGTCTAGAATTGGACAAATTTTTTTTTTAAAGGAACAAATTGTAAGTAAATGTAGTCAAGTGGATTTTTACTTGTCTGGCAGATGAGCTGTTATTTTCCCTTTTAAAATTGTTCTCTCTTTCTGTAATAGGTCCAGCATGCACTGAAAAAATCTGAAAAGGCTTTGGATACTTTAAACAAAGCTATTAACATTGACCCCAAGAACCCGCTATGCAAATTCCATAGAGCTTCTGTATTATTTGCAAATGAAAAATACAAGGTAAGATTTGGTGCATATAGACAACCTTAAGTTATCTTTAAATTGCTGTAGCTAGGAATGAGGATGCACTGGAAGCTAAATGTTTACAGATTAACACTGGGTAGCACCAGGGCTTGCAGGAAGAGCCTGGGACGCTGGCCTATCTTGTAGAGGCTAACATGAAGCATTTGCTTTGACAAGTGCCACCTTCGCCAAGGGAACTATGTTAAATTTTTTGATTGTTACAAAATTTGGAGCCAACAGGTGATGCTTTTTAAATTACCATTATTTTAGTCTGACCCTGGAAAAAGAAAGGAAAGAAGGGGAAGTTATTGCAGCTGTCACTGACAGCTGTATTATCATGAGCTTACTAAAAAAAGGCTCAGCAAATTTCCCCATAACCAATTACAGCCATAAGAACCAGCTATTTCAAAGGCTGTGTTGTCAAGTGAAAAAGAAGCAGCTAAGCAACTTTGGTCTGATCCCTTGCGGACCTGTACCCTGTTTAGAATGAGTGAAGATCTTCCCACAGTCTATCTTTCCAGTGACTGTTGTCCTCTGGCCTGTTTTTTGTGGCCACAGAAGACAAGCCGCAGTCTGGTTTTTGAAACCTTGCTTTAGAAATGTGTGCGCACACGTAAAGGGAAAACTCTACGTAGATCTTTCTTTTTTTCTTTTTTTTTTTTTTGAAAACTCATAACTGAACCAATTAAATATAAAATGTATTAAGATTAAGGACTTAATGAAGTGCCCATTTGTAGATTGTTTTTAAAAATAAAAGCAGAGGATAAATACAAGAGGGGGAAAAAATAAATCTAATAGTCCACTATTTTATTGCCCCTGCGCTAGTGAAGGAACTTGTTGACCACGGTGAAGCAATGTTTTAGGAAATAAAACATTTGGACTCTATTCTTTATCAGGCTGAGACTTGTAAGACTAAAGTTACACTGTTCACATAAACTATGTAAAACTTAATTAAATGTTTTGGTTTTTAGCACCAGTACTAAGAGAATTTTGATAGTGTGATAAATTTGGCTAGTGTTAGGTAAATAAATGTACCATTTATGTAGCAAGCCCTAACTTGAAATTGTCTTCATGTGAATAAATTTTAGAGGGTTGAATGGAACTTTTTATAACTAAAAACAATGTTTATTCCTAACTGCAGACTAAATAGGTAGAATTTCTTCATGCCAGTTACTGTCACAGCAGAATAAATTGCTCCGGTGTCAACAGTTAGTTTAAAAGTAAAGTAGAAGTTTCACTAAATATTTTGGACTTCAAATGCCTAATATAAACACAGTCATCATTTGTAAAAGTCCACAGATACATATCTAAACCAGAACCTTTCAAAAGTATGGGCTTGAGAGCAGTACATCCAGCACAAAATACATCAATATTCTTACTTTTTCAGAAGCTCAGTATACTAAAGGAAGTGCCCACTGTAAATACACTGTGAGGTTCCTGTCTTCTACCCTATTATGCCCTGTTAGGGGCAACAGGGGCATTTGCTATCAGAATTGTTAGATGTGTGTTGTAGGAGACCAAAGCCCAATAAACTTGCTCTATTTCTGTAATAATGGGGCTATAATATGCTACAATAGTTAAATGAGAACTAATGTAAAAAGAATTTTAGATGCTTCTCGTGAGACTGTACTATTGTTCTTGATGGAATATTCTGTATGTAAATGCCAGGAATTTTTTTTTCTACATTAGTGCTAAGTCACAGTTTAGTGATGTCATAACTGGTTGCAGACTGCTAGCTTGTATTTACTAAGCTCTTTTTTCTTCCTTTTCAGTCTGCTTTACAAGAACTTGAAGAACTGAAACAGATTGTTCCCAAAGAGTCTCTTGTTTACTTTTTAATAGGAAAGGTAGGTAAAACTTAACGGTGATCATAAGTTCTTTGGTTTCCTTTGTTGCAGAAATGTATGCCTAATGAGAAAATTTGATGCCTGTCACTAAGCTGCTTCCATTTGGAGCCGTATTCTAAAAATTCCCAAAGCTTTAAATAAGGCTTACTGCTCACAGCTTTATTATATAGCAGCTTTTAAATGCAAAAGACAGTTATTACTGGAGCAGCCTTCAGCTCTCTTTAAAACAAACCAAGAAAAAAATAACCCAAGCCAGTGTTATTCTTTGCCTGCTTTGATTTCACCACTGTCAACTTGAAAGATAATTAATTTAATAAAGTAAAAATTGATCCTGATAAAAAATACTTCGCTGAAAAGAGATACAGTGGTTATGCACACAGCCATATATCTTTCCTTGAAAATGGAACTCTGTCAAGACTTGACTCCATACGATAGCAATGATGTGATCAGTGGATAATCCTTAAAATTTTGAGGGATAGCCCGCTCATCAGTCAGCAGTGTTGGCTATTTGCACATATAATTATTAAAATGTTGAATCGCATTCTGATGCATTTTATCAGAAATGCTGAACAAGGAGTAATTCTAGAATACTCCTAAGCCTCCATCAATAGCCTCAATGTCCTTTTCAGCTGACAACCTCCCCAAAAGAGTTGTAGAAGGCTATCAGTTTGAAAGTAAGAAGAGTCTTTAATGAGGCTAGTAGAGTAGGCTAGCACAGGAGAAGATATTACTAGTTTGTCAGCTGTGTTTACATTCCAACCTTCTTTGTGTTTAATGCCAGAGAAAAGTAATCTGGTAATAGAAATCCTCCTTCCTCACCATCTTCTCTGCTAATATGCTTTAAATAAGTTCTGCAACTTTCTTCTGTGGGGTATCTGTTCACTAGCAAGCAGCAAGACAAACTTACCTCTAGCACAGTACTGGATAACTCTTAATCAGTGAGATTTCTTTTTTTTTTCTTTTTTTTTTTTTAAACTGGGGAGAGGTAAAAGGATTTGTTGTGGAATTTGTTGACTGGTATTTGTCCAGGAGTAGCTGGACCTCTAAATTGACATTAGAGTTGCCATGTCTTGACAAACTTAAGTACTTTCACTGTTTAAATGCTTAACACAGATAAATTATTTGCTTGTCTGTCCTTAATGATAAGGAGAGCTTCAGTGCAAGTTACAGTGACAAAGAAGGTAAAATATGGGCTGGTTTCTGCCATGCAGTGTTATCTTGAAAATGTTGCTGTTCAGTTTAACAGGACAATGTCCCGTTATTTTCTCCACCTGCCAGTGACAGTTAAAATGCCACTTGAGGGTGTGAATGGCTGTGCTGAGTCAGATCAAAAATCTGTTTAACCATGTATCCTGCCTTTGCTAGTGCTCAATATGAGAGCTGTAGGGAAGAGTACAAGATTAATGCGTGCATGTGGTAATACTTCCCCAGACTATTCTCTGGGCCTCTGACATTAGAAATCTGAGGCTTTGGACTTTTCCTGAGCCACAAGTAGATTTGGGGTTACAATGATTCAAGAAATTGAAAGAGTGGTGAGGGGGTAAGATGAAACAAAACATGTACACTAATAGCTTTTACACCACCCTGCTGCGGAGTTCCAAAGCTTAAATTTGTATCTGAAGATCCACCTCCTTATTTTTCTGAAACTGTCAGCTGCTAGTTTAATTTAATTTTTTTTGAGTCTTAAATAGAAACACTTGCTTACTCTTTCTACACATATTTGCTGTTTCCCTTGGGACTTGTGTAATAAATCTTTCATATCTACTCTGTGTTGCTTTTCATGAAGTATCAGTTAACTGTGGCTTGGTATGTTTGTTGTCCACACCTTCAACTAGCAACTTCATGTAAATGTAGCTTGTTATGCTTTTATTTTAGGTTTATAAAAAACTGGGTCAAACACATTTGGCCCTAATGAATTTCTCATGGGCAATGGACTTGGATCCCAAAGGAGCCAATAACCAGATTAAAGAGGCCATTGATAAACGTTACCTTCCAGATGATGAGGAACCAATAACTCAAGAAGAACAAATCAGTGAATGTTACCCCTATGAATCAGGTTTGTATTTCCAACCCTTTGTCATTCAAGGGAGGTATTTCCACTTAGGCAGTAGGAAGAATCCCAGGTTTAATAAGTGTAACATACTGCTTAACCTCGCTGCTCGGCAAGAACTCGGGAGGCTCTTCATTCAGAAGAATTCATTCATGCTTCCTACAGTAATCATGAAATAAAGGATTGTGACATTTTTTTAGAATCTATAGATGGAGTAGGACAGAGAAAATGACTACTGTAAATTTGTACAAATCATGGTTGGCTAATAGTATCCTAGGAGAGCAAAATGCTCGCAGAGCCGCAAATCTTCCCTCATAGGAGCATCAAATCGTTTCAAGGTAACCGAATGGCAACTGAAATTGTCTGTAGAGGCTTTGTCAAAAGTTAAACAAACTGGATGTTGGGCAAAAATATTTGGTCTGCTAAACATAAAAGGTAGCTTTTGATGGAAGTCATGGAAGCAGTTTCATTTGAATCACGAGAAAATAACACCCCCATTATACTACTTGGGAATAGTTAACAAAAAGGAATGGCCTGGGTTTCTCTTCTCTCTAACTTTTTGTTATGAGCTTAAATTCCATGAAGTGCGGGTAGGTCTGTGAAGCATGGATAGTCATAAATATTGACCTCTTTGATGCAGACTGAAATAGTGATAGAAAATAAATACTAATAAGCAATGTAATTCTTTTCCTCAAAAGAAGAAAATATAGCAGGTTTTGGATTCTTATTAATAGATGTATGCTCTCTTCTGCAATTCTGAATCTTCAACAGAAAAAGTTGTCACGTTTTCCTACTGTATACCATGTTGATTTTTATTGATCCTTTTTAATGTGCGTTTTAATACTGGAAACTTATCCAGCACTGCACTTCCTGAAGTAGCAAGCGTTTTTCTCTCCCTGCTGTTGTAGCTGGGCTAACTTAGAACACGGGCTCACTGGGGGCTGAGCATGCTTCTGACCAGAAGATGGAGACAGAGTACTTGAACTGCTGAGCGACACCTAAGCAGTACAGAAAACCCCACACCTCCAAAAAAAAAAAAAAGAACAAACCCCAACACACATAAAAAAACCCAAAACCAACCAACCAAAAAAACCAACCGAAAAAAAGAAAAAAACAACTTAATCTGTCCAATAAACGTAAACAAAATAAAACAGTGTTAGGCTGTGTGTAAGCAATTCACTTTCCCTGGCGGTGCAGATAAATTGTAGAAGAGTTTCACAGTCTCAGCTGAATAACTCTTTTAGGATACATGAGACAAGCTAAAGTAAATTAAGGTAGTACTGGGGGCAGAGGGGAATTACGTTTAATATATTGGCTAGTGTAAGCCATTTTTTGCATTAAATTGCCTAGCATGGGACTGGCTGTGTCCATTGTACAGAAACCTGTAAAGTGTTTGCATTAAAGCAATAAATGGTATCTGTGTTTCTCCACATGAAACAACTTAGGTATTTGGGAACTTACAATTAATATGCTAAATTGTACTATGGAAAGCAGACACAAGTCACATTCCTGTGTTTGAAGAACAACCATCACTAGATATTTACCTTTGTTCTAATTTTAACAAGTATAGAAGTTAAATATTTAAGGATAGCCTCTCAGGATATATACATTTATCTTCTATGCTGTGCATGGCATGCTGTCTTTATTCAAACAGAACTAGTTTTCCTGGAAGCTCTAGACTAGCCATCATCTGAGCTGAGTGAGCGGAGTAATTCTTCAGCATTGGAAACATCTGTATGCATTTGCTCAAAGCAGTTCTCTTACCACATATTCTTTGTCACAGAAGCAGGGAGCAAGTAAAGGCTGCCTAACACTACTAATTGAATCTTATTTGGTTGTAAATTCAAATGCACAAATGCAGTCACAATGCAGTAATGCAGTGGGTAACTTATGTGAGCATTTCAGGCAGCTGGTGTGTTTTGAAGGAGTGGGAAGGTTAAATTGCTCCTAAGGCAATTTTGGAACCCTCTATACTAATCCCTACCTAACTAGATGTCAGAGATTTCAGCTTTTTAACAGAAGATGGCTAAGGCAGCGTGTTTTGTTAATATGTACTTTGTGTTAATTCCTTTCTAAATGCATTTATTTAGACTTTGTTAAGCTGGCAGGGGTCAGCGTATTAGAAGGAAAAAGGGAAAAGCCATATGGCTTCAAAGCATTTTGAGGGGAAGCCCAAACCCGTTGCTACTGTGCTTTTGACGTGCTGGAGTTGATGGTGGAGGAATCTTTGTAGTGAAGCAGCCCGGTAGTGTTTGACTACTTTCTGTTTCTTTTTCTTTTAAGTTGGCACAGACGAATCCCAAGAGAGCAGCATGACGGATGCAGATGACACACAGCTCCACGCAGTTGAAAGTGATGAATTTTAACCTCCAAAAGCCAGTATCTGAGCTTGAGTGTGTGACTGGTACTGTTGTGTTCTCCCCTTCCTTCGCATCCTGGGTCTTCACATCACTGAGCCAGCATTGTCATTATTCTCCACTGACACCATGAGTACACCACTCAGACTTAAACTGTACGCAGAGTTAATGGCAGTGCAATATTCAGCTGCTACTGAGTCTGACTAGTTGGCTCTTACACGTTTATGAAAGAGACTGAGGAGGAAATGCTATTTTTGGACTCCCCTTTGCTGGAAAAATATCATGGAAGAAAGACTTGTGGTTTGCTGTAATGAAGCCAGTAGATGTGGGGATAGTACTAATGAAGCAGTGTCTTGTTCTTTTTCCAGAAATGTGTCTTAGTTTGGTTCTTTCTTGGTAAGCAGAGTGCTGAACCTCATTTCCAAGTTCTTCAAGGACAGTGTTGACAAACGCAGGCTGTTAAAGACTTTTGCATATTGTAGTGTAACTTAAATGCCAGGGAATGTAAATGACCTTAAAGCTGCAGTGTCTCCAGTGAACAAACACAATGCACGTGCTCAGGACTGGGAGTGTGTCAGACTACGTAAAACATCCAGTGTCCCTACTTAGAGTGCAAACTCGCAGGAGTGGAAACGTAGCAGGAGAATCACATTGCAGAATTAAAGCTTTCATGAAATGCTTTCATGTTCTAACCAAGAATTAATTTATTCACCTAGTTTCTGAAAGGTCAGTGTTTACTTTATACTTCAAAGAAACAAGTCAGCAACACCTTGCTTCATTTTTCATATACCCCTTGACTTGTTCTTCCCCTTTTAAGAATGAAAGTTAATAAAGGGCAAAATCAAGAGAGGAACATAGATACAACTGTAATGTGAAAACATTAAACCCTTACTCCAGAGTGACTGCGTGTTTCTAAGCAGATAGACTGGGAAGACCGTGGAAGCCTTAATACAATCAGAACCTTAGTCAAACGCATCAAATAATTGTCTAAGATTAGCATCATTTTTAAAACTGTTTTGTTAAGTGTGGTCCAAGCAGGATGCAAAAATGTGCAATTATCTTTCTCCTTTTTTTTTTTTAAGCTGTTCTTTAGTGTTGTCACTGTAGGAATGCTTTCCTATTCTACAGAGGCTGCTTCTGTGAAAAGAAAGCTACGCCATGTTAACGAGTCCAAAATGGTCTTTCTCTGTAGCATTCTGCAGCAACAATCGGTGCCCTTTATGCAGTGATGATAAAGAAAGTGTATGATATAAGCAGTTTTAAAGAGCAATTTATGCAGAATAAATTGGGAATGATAAAATTTCATAGCAACATTTTTGTTGTGATCAGTCTTAATGTTCTTTTTTTTTTTTTTTTAATGTATTGGTCTTTAGGGGTCTTTTAGTTACCTTTAGAACTTCAATTTTTTAAATTCTGGCCTTGTCTTACACTGGGCACGTCTTCTGTCACAGCTCCTCTCTGGTCATGAGCCACACGGACACTTTTATCATTTGAAAAATACTCCTCAAGTGCTGAGCAAAAATATAATTCCCTGATTTTTTTTTTTTTAAAGTAGGAGGATAAGCAGTGAAAAATAGGCTTAAACTCCTCTAATAGCGTGAAGAGGAATTTCTAAAATCTGAGGAATGATAATATATTAAAGGAGCTTTGTGCCTCTGCCATGTACTTCTGATCAGCTTGTGTCTGGAAGGTTGATGAATTGGAAAATCATGACATGTTTCAGCTGGCTTGAGCATACTGAATCTAGCACTGCTTTTTGTGGCGATAGATATTCTGGGGTGATTCCCTTTCCTGATGAGTCCTCCCTGAGGAAGACACGGGGTTCAAATTTCCCGAGAGCTGATCTGCATCTACGGCAGAGCTCACGCACGGTGCTCTTGAGTTACCCGTGTCTGTCCCGGCGTGGTTTTCCCGTCCAGCCGCAGAGTGTGTTTGCAGCTTCCCAGTGCATCCCTCCGCAAGGAAGAGTTTCTGAGCAGCACCTCAGCATAAGGTCTGGAGGCAGCACTTGTGTGAATGCCACCAATTAATGTGTTAATTGGCTTCCTTCTGGTTCCCAACATATTTTCTAAGCAAAAAGCAGGAGTAAGCAGGTGCTACTCTCAAGACTTTTCCATAACAAATGCTATTGTTTAAGTGGGGACCAGAGATCTAGGAAATTAGGTGGCTCTTTCCTTTTTCTTTTGTTCTCTAAAAATCGTGAAAAATTGTAGCAAAATTTTCAACACCCTGGAAAGAGCTCTTAATTCAGCCGGGATGTTAAAAGGATATTCATGCTACCTGGAAGATTTAATACTTAAAACTGTTCCTTGCTTTATATGTACATCATACCTGAAAGTGATTTTTTCTTTTTTTCCCAAGAATTTTTCTACCTTCTAAATAGATACACAAAATTAGTATTTAACCAATAAAATTTTGCTCTCTTTGAAGAAGGGCAGAGAGAAGGATGGCGAGCATGAAGGCACTCTGGCAGCCAGGTTAGAGCAAGTGTGTTCACTGAAAAGAATTAGGGAACTGTCATTTTCTTACAAAAAACTATGGAAAAATGCAAAGTGTGGGTGTGGTGTGTACTATTTGCATTGAAACAATGTAATTTGTCTTTTTCCTTTTTTTTTTTTTTTGGCTTTTCCTGACTTTTTATTTCAAAAATTGTACAGTCTTAGGAAAAAAAAAAAGTCTTTTCTGTTAATATATTTGCGATTCATTAAAGGATGTGGAAAATCCAAATAAACTACTTTTAAAAGCAGGCTTATCCCCAGGTCCTCTGGGTCAGTGTTGGGATTCATCCTTCAGGAGGTGGGCGAGCGCGGCAGAGCTGGAGGGAGGTTTAAGGACGCGCCTCGGGGGATGTGGGGGCTGTTTTCTGTCCTGCAGTAGCTGGTGATCCCAGTGTCGCCTGCGAATCTGCTGCAGGCTTCCAGCAAAGCGGGCTGCAAGTACATCTTCCTGGGCTGGAATTTTGGGTGAGGTGTGGGCTGTTACACCTGATGGTAGGGGCATGCAGTGAGGTTTCCAAAAAGGTTTCTGTTATGGAGCAGATTTGATTTTTTTTTTTTTTTTTTTTTTAAATTTTTATTCTGCCTTCCAGAGCAGCTCTTAACATTGTTTGTGGCTGCAACTGTTGTCGGCTCAGCGAAGAAACGATTACAGACTTTGCTGCACTTTCAGACCTGGAGGAAAAGCTTGCTGGAAAGGCTGAGGCTCATGGCTGTACAGGAATTCCTCTTGCTGCATATACAGTTGTCTTGGATTAAAGCTTTTAGCGCTCATTTTTGTCCACTATATTAGCCTAATCCAGGCATTTTTTTGAGAGCGAAGTTTGGCTGTAAAAGTGACACTGAACTTAACCCTTTCCTCCACCTAGTTGCCTCCCCCCTTTTTTTCCCCATGTTTCTTTTAATCCTGGACTTCTACGATTGTGCGTACAAATGCAGTCCGTAGTTAAACTCTCTGCTCGGTAGCCGACTTCCCGCCCTGCTTTACGCACGGCGGCGAGAGCCGAGTTATTCTTCCTGTGTCTCGGTTGCAGTTTCTCTGTGTCTGCTCGAACACGGTGATTTAGGCTGTACGCTTCCTAGCGGTGAAACGGAGCTTTGTTAATGGTAGGCTGAGCTTTAGCTGTCTCCAGAGAAAGGCAAAGCATTAATGAAATTTGGCTTGTAAGCTGCAATACTTCGTTTTGTGTCTGAATTGCAGCAATGCAGCGAACACTAGGAGTTGTTAATATCTCAGGATTTCCAGCTCGGGAATATATTTGGCACCTGGTCTGTACAAATACCTACAGCTTCCTACTGGTACCTCATGCTTCGTTCTTGTTCATCAGTAACTTTGCTGCTGCAAAATCTCCCTATTTTCTGTCCCTCTGTCAAAGTTAGTGATTTTATTTGATCGAGACCTGGTCCAGGAGCAGGCACTGTTCATTTTTTTTAAAGATGGAACAGAAGAACAGGGTTTCTAAGGCAGGAAGCCCTGTATTCCTGATCCTCAGAGGAGCGGGGTTTAATATATTAACACAGAGGATAAGACTTCCTCTGCTTCTTTTGCCTATCTGCTTTTCAAATCAGTATTTGTGGAGCACCTGATTTCTCAGTTAGTTTGGGTCCAGCTGCTATCCAAACCCTGGGAGATGTTCCTTGCTTTGAAATCCCACAGCGGCGGGCAGCCGGGTGAGCAGGGACAGGAGGGGACCCGGTCCCTTCCCTGGGGTCGCAGCACCGGACCCAGACAGCAAACGCCTCTCCAGCCTGTGTCCTCGAATCCAGCTGGGCAGAGTCGTGGAGCAAAGCCACCAGGAACGCCGGACCCAGAACAGCCCGTGGAGGTGGAAACGGGACAGATGAGGGTGAAGGAGACTGAGGAGCCGCTGTGGCAGCTGCAAGAGAGATGTGAGACATGAGACACGGGGGAGCCGGCACGGCGGGGTGACATGTGTGGGACCTGGGCTGGGTGACCGTCCCCTCTCTAGAGCTGACTGTCACGTTCACCCAGGATTGGGCCAGTTTGGGTCTCTTCTGGGTTTCTCAGCGTTTCAGCAGG